ACATAAAAAGTTGCACTGAGGCCGTGGCTGGGTAGCTCAGTTGGTTAGAGCATTGTCCCAGAAGGCCAAGGTTGAGGGTTCGATCCCAGCTCAGGGCACATAGAAGAAGCAACCAATGCATGTATAAATAAGGGGAACAACAAATCAAGGTTTCTCTCTCTCTTTCTCTCTAAAGTCAATCAGTCAACCAAAAACAGTTTTTTTAAAGTTACATAGCTAATTCATTTCCTCCCCAAATGCCCCTGACATATATACTCCTTACATGGGGCAGGTCCTTACTCAATGCCGCCAAAAGAAAAATGTACCCTAAATGATGCGTTGACTTCGAATGACTTTGAAAAGACAGTAACACAATATGATATGTTTACTAAACATGTAAAATGACAGCAGAGATTCTGGGGCCTCAACTTTGAGCTCCTAGCATCTGAAGGACAAAAGTGTGGTGAGGATCGTTAAACTTTCTTCTGTTTTCTCTTCCTAATTAAAGATCAACCGTGCAATCTAATCTCTGAAAATGATCACTCACTTTCTACAACCCGAGGTCCAGCCTCTTGTCAGCCACTGTCAATGCTCCTTTATTTTAATTCACATTGATTCTGGTTTCTGACTAGCTTGCTGAGACACACGAATATATGTCATAGGGACCAGTGAAAAAGACTAGAAAATTCTGATCCCTGAAAACGGAAAAATATTCTGAAAACTGAGATAGATAACAGACTAAAAAAATCATTATGATAGAGAACTTGCTTTCGGTTTAAACAAATGATCTGCAGAGCTGCCTAGGAAGCCTTCTGGAATGAAAATCTTGGTGTCAAGGTTTTCGTACAAGGAAAGAAATTGAGGGTATTTTGGTCAACCGGTTATCCCAGCTATGGCCCGCAGTCAAATGGAGCCCTAGGCATATTCTCACAGGGCCCCAAGCTCAGAGTGGTTTTTATATGGTTGAACAACTTTAAAAATAAAACAAAGCACAGTATGTAACAGGGAAGGTATGTAACCAACAGATCCTAAGATATTTACTATCTGATTCACTATCTGTCCCTTTCCTAGAAAAGGTTTGCTGACCAGTAGGTCTAAAACAATCTCAGTATTGATGACAATGCCAGTTAATTCCTAAAAGTCAGAAAAGACCATGGAAAACGAAACACTCGTTTATCCCAAGAAAGTGGGTCTGCCAAGTTAAAACTAAGAGAAATAAAACTGCGAATTACGCCATTCCCTAAGACATCCAGTCACATAATATACATTTTCTACCAACAAAGAAAGTCTGCAATACTAAATTTTACTATTGAAATAAGCACTGAAGATAGCTGTTCAAATAGCAGGAACAGAATGATATTTCTCATTTATAACTTGGCAGCATTAATGCACTTCAAAAAACTAGACATAATTGGCATCAAATGCCAGAAAAGAAAAAAAACAGAAAAAGTCAAACTTATAACAAAGGCAAGCTCTGAGTGAAAGCAAATGAATTCAAGACAGTATTTCTTTTGAAAATATTACCTCAATATTGAATTTAATTGCTACATCTACACTTATAAATCACTGAGATTCCTCAAGTCAATTTAGACATTTCCATGGTATTTTGGATTTTAATTTTAGAAAATACTTGAGATTTAAAGCGCCCCTTTACAAACCAGGGTAATTACTTTCTCTCAACACTAAGTTAAATAGATGTTAATTTATTATGTTTCTTTGGGAGGTTCCTATGATGTAACAGACAGTTCTTAAGTACCTATTTCCTCCTGAGCTGCAAACATTCTATTCTAAGACCAGAATAGCTGCCTGATGGCAAAGAAAATAAAATGTAACATCTAAGAAAGATCCTCTAGGATTCCTCCTGTTCGGGAAAGAGTCAGCAATTTGGGGTAGAAAAGAAGTCGGCGGCATCAAACTCACAGGCTATGCCCACAGCCTTTAGCATAGGACTTGCAGCAAATGCCTAATTTTTAATGACTCATGTTTAATGTGATGTTTAGGCTCTTAGCAGTGCTCTCTTTAGGCCTTGGCAAGAAGAGCTCCTACCAGACAGCCCTGGGCTTTAGAAGGCATCTCCAGTGCAAGGAATCCATCAACAGGCTACGGGGACCAGCCAGGCTGGAGCCAGCCCCCTTGAACGTCATGATCCTGAGTACCCGGGACCCTCGAATTTCTGGCTAAGTCACGACATGCCCCACTCCAGGACCTGTCCCTTGGCCCATTCTCTAGAAGGTGGCCTGTACAGGACTCCAGGGCTGCGGTGCACTTTCTAAGGCCAGGGGAAACTTAAGGTAAAAATAATAATAATTTCCCACTCATTTATGAATTGAGGCCAAAACGAGAATTAGGAAAAAAAATCAGAATAAATTAGCAATCCTAGAAAACAACATTGAAATCACTGCTTCCATTGTAACCCTGTTGGACGCTAACGTAGAATCGTCAAAGTCTTCTAAAAAGTGTTTGGTCAACAGAAAAAACAAACAATAACATAAAATCAGACAAACAGAAAACAGCCTTGATTTTTACTTAGTTAAGTGCTGACCTAATTCAACAGTTCCCCAATGATAAGTTGAAAACAGTCAATAAATAAAATATGTCTTTCTGGTTGACTTTCCCCGAAATCTATGATTAATTGCCTTTCACAATCGGAATATCACATTCGGCTTTGGAAAGAACAATTCTCATTACTTGTCTGAAGATGTGCTCTGGATGTATGTTCTTTTGGCTCTCAATGCAAGAAGTACGTTCCCCAACTTTTAAAATGTATATGCATAACATACTGTATAACCAATCTTAGAAATAAATTATTATAACAAGAAAGAAAGATGCTAAGGAGGAACTATTCCCCCTGACTATGCCTTTGGGTGTGGATGTCCCTTGGTCAAGTCAATGAGAGTAGAAGCCACACTTTATATAACGCCCTGGCCATAAGGGCTGGGAGACAGTGGAGAGACTCGGTCTTAAGACAAGTTGCATAATCCTGTCTCAAAGAGGGGAAGGGAGAAGCTAAAACATGCTGCCCGAAGGCTTGACAATGGGTTCTCTGGTCCTTTCAAAATCTGAGTAAGAGTCCACGATGATACCAGAGCCTCGGCCACTTCCAACGCCTTTGGAGTTCAGTCGCTACCACGATTTGGCCACAGAAAGGAGGGGCTGTTCCAATCTCCCTGACCATTGCCACCCTAATTATTACATTACACTTTCACAATTTAATCCCTTTACTTGCCTCACTGCCTTTTCGGGGCTAAGCACGCACCGCGGTGGGCTGCCTGCTGATGTCGCCAGCAGCGTGGCCCCACCGAGTGCCGCCCAGCTGCCAGCTCCAAGCACAGCCAGGCGGGCAAGTCCAGAGTGCTAATCCGGACAGTGACATCTCTGTCTCCCGCTCAGGACCCTTGAGATGCTCCCTCCAACACGGAGCAGAGCTGAGCATGTGCATCGATGCCAAGATCACCCCGCGCTCCGCCCTGCTAGGCTCTTGGTCGCAGTTCAGCATCAGAAGGACTAATCAGGCACAGACTTCCAACCGTGTCCTCCGGCCACTGTGCGGTAACTATGGCACAGCGAATAACACCCGGCTCGCGGAGTCGCTTAAGCAACTCTCAGGAAATTGTTTCAAATGCTTCTTCTGTCTTGAGAAAGCACACTGAGGACCCAAGAGTCTAACCCTCTCCCCCAACCAAAACTCCCCGGTCTTCCCTCAACACCGTAGGCCATTGTTTGAGGGATTCGCCCCAACCCACCAACCTTTGGGAACAAAACGCTACTAGATCAAAACTACAGCTCCAGCCGGCGAGCCGCCTGGCTCACAGTAGGTTCTCAGAAAATACTTGTTGGGAAAGCGGGAGGGTCCGTATGCACAGTATTTGTTCAGTTAGCCCCCAAAACGTTGGCTTATCTTTGCGTGGACAGGCCCAGAGCGGTGTAAACTGAGTTCACGAAATCACACGATGAACATTGGAAAGTTTAGAGACTCGGTGACTGCAGGATTCTAACACTGTTGACAATGGCTGGCGAGGACCCAAAGACCCAAGTTTTGCAATTTTACAGACGGACAAGAGGTTTCTCCAATGTCCCAAAGTGAAGGGAAGCTTTGCGCCTACACTGTCGCTTTACCCACTTCACAGGCGCTTTTACACTGATTTTTACCCTCAACATTTAGTTTATAGTTGAGAGGGAAGAAACGAAGGATGCAGTCGATGAAGGGTTTTCGTAAGAAAATGCTAATAAAATATGGCAGTGCTGATCTAGAAAATGGGAAGAGGCAGCTGTTAAAATATTTAGGTGTCCCCCCCCCCAACCCGGCCTTCGTCAGTGAAAACTATGAAGGGCTCTGAGGCGCTTAGGCTTAAGCAGCCCCTCTAATGGGTGGGGGCTGCGATGTCCCGGAGAACCGTGCACTTCAGGTAACTCATCTAACGCCGTGTTCCTCGGCCACAAGCCAAGGGAGCTACGCAACAGACAACACAAAAGCAATAAGTGATACAACTTCTCCCACTAAGGACAGTGGCCCTGCTCTAACCACGGCCGTGCTCTTCCGTTCCCACCCTTCGAGCTTCACTGGGACAGCAGAATTGGCAGGGGGACCGTTGATTCTCTAAGTCCTTCCCTCTCCATTTTAATCTATTTCTGTTTGACCTCAAGACGGAATTAAGACAGTGACGCCTTAGCCCATTTGGCTCCGTGGTTAGAGCGTCGGCCCTCGGACTAGAGGATCTCGGGTTCGAATCTAGCCAAGGGCACATAACTCCGTTGCAGACTCGGCCCCCGGCCCTTGTCGGGGCTCAGGTGGGAGGCAACCAATCGATGTGTCTCTGTCACATCGATGTTTCTCTCTCTCTCTCTCTCCCCATCTCCCTGCCACTCTCTCTGAAAAGCGAATGGAAAAAAATATCCTCTAGTGAGGAAAGAACTGAGACGGTGGAAGTTACCAAACGAGGGTAAGAAGTAGGGAAACCAGCCAACCAAGCAGCCATCACGCGAGGCCGGGAGAGCGCAGGGGCCTCCCGGTGGGGACTCACCTTGGATCGTCCTCTTGAAGAACGCCTTGCAGGCCTCGCAGGACGCCACCCCGTAGTGGTACCCAGAGGCGATGTCGCCGCACACCAAACACAGTCTCTTGGGCATGGAGTTGAGCATGTACTCGCACTTGGTCTGGGGGTCCTCCACGATGGTGCTGGAGCAGTCGTCGTAGAGTTTCCTGACGGGCCCGCCGCCGCCCAGGATGGGGGCGGACGGGTAGAGGGGCGGCGAGTCGAGTCCGTTCTGGTGGCCATTCATGGTCGAGCTGTAGCTCCCGCTGGCGTCCGACGAGCCGCCGGGGCTGTGGTGGTTGACGCTGTCCGTCAGGGAGGCCGGGCTGGAGGGTTCCGTCTTGATGAAGGACGAGCAGCTGGAATCAATGTGTCGGTCTTTGTTTGACATTCTGCAGAGAAGCCTGGGACCGAGGGAGGGGCGGGCGGAGGGAGAGAGAGGAGAGAGAGAGTCAATCGCAGGGACCACAAGACGGGGAGACGAAGAGATGTTTAAAAAAAAAATAGAGAAAGTGAAAGGGAAGAATGAAAGGAGAGAAAAAACCCAGAATTCGTGTGCTAAAGACACCGCTCTCCGAGCGCCCCCCAAGGCCTGGGACTTGACATCAGTCACGCTCCAGTCGATACCTCCTGCTCTACAAGGAGGGGACCCGCACGGGCCTGACAGGCCTCCATAAAACTGCCCGGACAGCCCATGAACAAAAGCCCTAATGGGCCCAGTTCCTCCCGGCGCCTTTCTCTTGGCGAAGCTGTCAACGTCTAAATCAACCCTCCACACTCCGAGCGCACCCCCGGAGGAGGAGTGATCTGCAGTCCCCGGCACGGCTAAAATGGTATTTCTTTTCACTTCTACTTTCCCCCTCCGCTTTCGGATCCCGCAATCATTTTCTCACGAGCGGAATCAAACTTCTGTTTTTGAGACGGAACCGACGGGTCCGCGGGTCCCAGATGACCGCCGGGCGGCACCGTCCACGAGCATCACTGAGCCTTTTATTGATCTCAGGCGCGCAGGAAATACACCCGCAAGCGCTCTGCTTCCCTGTTCAAGTGGTTCTATTTTATAGACATGGGCCACTGTAGGGAGACATCACCGATAAAATTCTAGCCAATATTTAAGGATTACTTCCTGGGGCCCACAAAACTTAAGTGAAATGATCGCCGTCACCGCTGAGTCAATATGTTCGTGTGTGTGTGTCACTGGCCGCCGTTGGAGAGATGACTCTGTAAACGCCACTTGAGCCTGCTGTATACCTGTGTGTCCATAAGTTATTTTTAGCAAAGTGAGAAGATGCCAAAGTTTGCACTAGGAAAAAAAGGAGATTCGCGACGGTCCCTTTTCTTTCCCACCTTGGTCTTTTAACACAAGAGCTCCTGAAAACAAACGTGAACATCTACGGTGACCAACTCCCTTATCTAGAAGGAACATACAGCCTGCCTGCCTTTGCTGGACCCATAAGGGGTGCAGTTTCTGAAAAGGTAATTAGATGAAAAGATATAATGGGCCCTATTTCCTTCCCGCTAGCCCATAGTGCAAAACCCCTTTTAGCAAAGTCCCTAAGCACCTGCTGAGAGCCCACTATGGAAAGAAGAGGTGACAGTTGAGTAAGGGACTTAGATAATTGCTTCCCGATGGAAAGCTGATTTATGGGAATCCCACCGAGCCGTGGTCACCCACCAGAATTCGGGGGCGCAGTCACCGGATAGCCAAATGGATGCAGTCATCTCTTTCGCCATCAATCCGGTGATATTTTATCATCGCACAAATTTCACACTCTCCTCTAGGCCCCCCTCCCCCCACTCTGTTATTTTAAAATGAAGAAAAATATGGAATTTCCTATCAGGGAACGTTCACTGTTCCGAGAAGATCTCAAGAGCAAGAATTTACCTGTTAACCAACGTATTGTACCTTGGACACTGTGTTCTACAGTATCAGGACCCGAGCAGAGCAAACCGGCAGGGGAAGGCCCCCCAAAGACCTCGCCTGTGGCCCACCCACCTACGCTGTCCCTCCCACAAGAACTAGCCAAAGAACAGCATCGCCCCCTCGCCAGCCCGCAGGACACCACGGCGCCCGCTCCTCCCGCATCTGTGGCCCGTCCCCGGCCCGTCCCCGTCTCTGTCCCCGTTAACGAGCGCTGTAATTAATAGATCGCTCTCCTTGTCTCCCTGCACGCACTTGGGGCTAAGCACTTTTCCTCAAGTCAACGTTTGAAAGAAAGCGGGTCGCCGCTGACTTACAACAGCCCTGCAAATCCCTTTTAATTTAGAGCACTTACCCCACCACACTCCACTTATTACCTTATAATTACTGGACTCTCCACACATACATTATGATCCGAGACTCGAGCTAGAAGTTATTAGGGTACTAAAACAAGCGTGTTCCCTGTCCTCTCTCCCGCACTGAATTTCTCACCGCTATGACAATTAACTCTTTCGCATCTGCCCGCCAGCACCATGTCTTGATTTAATTTTATTCTTTCCAGAGGAGAGATGCCTGGAGCATCTTCATCACGAAACAGGCCATGTTTCCTTCAGACCCTCTTTTTAATTTCTCTCTTTCCTTGTATCATCTCTGGTCAATTCCCCCTTCTCCCCCCAACTTTCTCTCTCTCTGGCTTTTACTCATAGTCTTCTAAAATTTGAAGAGCTCTTGCCTAAGCAGCAAGGCCAGGCATGGCCTCCCCTAGAGAGGACAGTTATCGGCTAAGTCACTAACTGCTTCCGTGTCAAATGCGTGTCGGTCAAGTGCCTGAAAAATTGGGAGTCTCCAGCCAGCTGTGTCCCCCAAAATCTCTGTCCATAACTTTGCAATAACTTGGATGGACTCAAGGGAACTCGGGAAGTTCAGGAGTTCAGGGAGGTCTCTGGAGAGAGGCACAGTCTCCTCCCACACGAGGTCTGGCCGCTCCAGCTGTAAATGAACACCTAGAAATTCGATTTGTTTTAAAGCCTTAGTACAGTTGCCTTTATTATTTTAATTTTAATTATTTTAAGTTGTACATTCTTCTTTTCAGACAGGAGCAACCTCCTTACTGCATACCTTCGGCCCAATTACAATAATAATAGCCGTGCTGTCATTTGTCAAGTGCTTGTTAGGTGCCGGGCAGGAACCTGAGCACTTTATAAAAAACTATCACCAGATTTAATCCCCAAGACAGCCTTGTCGGGGAGCTGCATTACATTTTAGGAACCCGAACCTCAGTCATTTCCTGAAAGCCATGCAGCTGGAAAGTTGAAGAACTGGGATTCGAACTCAGGCCTGACCCCAAAGTCCAGTGCCTACATGTCTAGAGGCCAACAGAGAGATTTTAAAGGTGTTCACTGATGTCTTAAAAATAGCCTTGCAAGCAGGGGTGCAGGAGGCCCGTGTGGAGATCTAGCCCCTCCACAAGCTCAGCCGTGAGCAGAAAGGGGCCGAAGGGGTCACCACACCGGCTGGGGGTCATCCCGTGGAGTCCCCTCTCCAGGGTGGGAGCGACGCCTAAACAGAAGCTCCGATCCTAAGAACACAGTTGCCACCTAATGACTCCCCAGCTCATTACACTGAACGCTTCCTCGACACCACTGCATTACCCCCTAAAACTACAGCGGCTCTTAATTCTCTCCCCCTCTGTCTCTGAGATTCTACAGCTCTATTATTCAAGCCTGAAATATTCACAACTATCTATAAATTCAATTGTCAGCCGGGGTTTTTATTCTAGCCTTCGCTTCAATCTAAAATTAGAGGCACTAAAATTCGCATTAACTCTAAGAGGAATGCAGTGAATGAGACTTTATTTCAAAAGAACACCTTTTTGTCAGAAAGAGCCATTTTCAAGATGATGGCTCTATCTGCAGCCAGAGAGAATAAGCCCAATTCCACATTGTGCTGTTAACGCAGAAATTGCAGGTCACATCGGATTAATAAAAACCTGAATTTAGTTAAGAATTATGAATAGAAATAGCGTGCTGAAGACGGTGGGAAATATTTACTTTAAAGCCTCAGTATAGTTGCTTTTATTTTATTTTATTTTAAGAGAAATGATCAGCCCTGGCCGGGTAGCTCAGGTGGTTAGAGCATCGCCCCGATACGCCAAGGTTGTGGGTTCGATCCCCGGTCAGGGCACATACCAGAAGCAACCAATGAATGAGTGAATGAATGAATGTGTAATGAATGTGTACATAAGTGGGGCAGCAAATCGATGTTTTTCTCTCTCTTTCTCTCGCAAATCATTTTTTTTTTAATGAAATGATGAGACACACAAGGAAGCAAGACTGTGATTTTCCAAAAAACCTTCTCTGAGTGAACGCCCTGAAAACGGAGGAGAGGAGGGGAAAAACTGTCACCCCCCCACATATTTAGTTTCTGTAGAAGAAACTACATTGGAGGGGTTTAACAGCCTTCAGGAGACCAGGGCAATTTCAGTGCTTTGAAAGGCATTTTCAACAGCTTGAGATATGGCTCAAATTATTCTGATTTTCATGCCTCATCCTAGAAACTCACTGCCCAGCCTGGCCTAAGGGTCAGACAGGGTAAATTTTATCTTTCGTGTTAACTACTAATGATCAGGGAAATAAAGCACCTTGGTTGCCAGACTACATAAAAATGTGGTTTTTGAAGGGAAATGAATTGTGTGCATATGTGTAACCTATACAGAGAGAAAGACCGAGAACCAAAGATAATCTGTAAGTTAATATTCAGTTTATATTATAATTATCAAGTATGCTTGTTTCCTGAGATTCTAGCTGGACCCAGGTAAATGGGTGATGCTGAGGGAACTGCCCTGAATTTTTTCTCACACATGTGGACATGGCCAGGTTGGTCCACATTTCCCAGAGGGGACTGAAGCACAGCCAATATTTTAACTGTTAAATGCTGGTATAGCAATAATATTCCAGTGGTTTATATATGATTACCCCATTCAGCAAAATATAAGTTCTTCACAAACAGCTGCATTTCATCTTTTGAATGTCATGCCAAACTCAAATTTATTTGCTACTTTAGTTCCCTACTTAAAAAATGGTACATAAAAATTCTCCTAAAAAAAAATGGGTACACCAGTCTTCCTTGGCCTTCCTGATCGTAGCACGGGGCAGGGATTTTGGAAACTTATTATATCAGCAACAGACGCCTTAATAGGCTCAATGAATGACGACCGAAGAAGTCACTATTTTTTCCTTTCTTGTCAACCTTAAGAGCAGAAGAAGGTATCCTCATCTTTAAAAATTCCAAGCACGTCATCAATTTATATCCAAAGTTTTTATGCAGGTTTACAAATACAAGAAGAGAAAGAAGAGGGGAGAGAGCGAGCGAGAGAGGAGAGTCCTTAGCTCCCTCACTGAATTGTAGAATTTCAGGACTAAACAGCAAGGTTGTCAGGTCGCACACCTACTCGCTTACCAACAGCAGTGAATCTAGGAGCAC